TGAGGAGTTTCTGAAAGATCTAGATTCTCCTCAGAGGATGAACCTTTGTCAGCTGCTGGAGCTTCAACAGAACCAACCTGACCCGTAGGAGCAAAGTACTCACAGTACCACAGACTRTCTACATGTACTTCACGTGTTACCTGTTCACTGTGGCTGATGATGAGCTCAACACAATCTACATTTTACATTTTACATTATACACAAGTCTTAACTTTAGTTTCTATAGTTCTTTATGGGTTTCTACTGATTTTCTTTAAGTATCTGACTTGTTTTCAAACCTCATTGTACGTGTGTGTACTGATGTCATTATACAGTTGAGATAGACTCACAGTGTTATGATATACAATAGATAAAAATATGAAAATCTTTACAGTATATTTGTGTTTTATTTCCTCCAGCTGAGCTTGAAGCCACCAGGGTTTCACCTGAGAGACTAAAACTGTCCCACACAGTGACGATACCTGTCAATGACGTGATGGAGACACAAATATGGAAAAACCATCAAGTGTTTAACACTGAATCATTCTAAATGACTGATAATTAGATTTTTTTTGTGGTCATACCTTGGAGTCAGGGTCGTGATTGGTCGGATAATCTTCATGACGCCATGACGACCTGAGAAAGAAGGATGTGTCTTATCATATAACAAATGTTTATATGTGTGTGTTTATTTCAGTGTGTGTGTGTGCACGTGTGTACCTGTCCTCAGGTGGTCTCTGCCCTCCAGCTTCTTCCTGCCGATACAAACACCACAGAAGAAGACATGAGCTAACCTGAGCTAGCTCAGCTCAGCTAACACAGGGGGGTTCTGACATCACGGTTGTGTTTGATATTTTAACATGTTCTAACCTGTGCGTCAAGAGGCTGGGGCATTCCAGTGAGGCTGGGGTGTTGCCACTGGGTGGCGCCGGTGGGAACGTGCCAGTAGTAGGTTCCTGTGGAGTCTTTGATGGTTCTCCAGCCGGAGGGAAGGTCCGGGTCCAGCAGCAGGTTCTGGTCGGTCCAGATGTTGTCTGCAGAGACACAAAACCAGAACCTCACCCTGATCAGTTCAAAATGAAACTGTTATCACTTCCTGTTGTCAGGAACTCAGTGATCTAGAAAATCTGTGAGTGGATCCTTGTGATCTGACAGGAAAGATTCTCCATGAAGTTCTGCTCAGTCTGATTCTTGGAGGTTTGTTGTTGATGACATCAGATATGATGTGTCAAATCAACATGTGTCTGACGTGGGTTCAGGTTGGACTCAAACAGGAAACGAGTGTGAGGAGAACCACTGCACAACCAGAACCAATCAGCCTGGACCATGTGATGACCATCATCTGCCTGTCAAACACAGTTCAGGGCATAAAAGAACAGGACAGCTTTCTCTAACATACGTGTTACAAACGTGTTACTAAACATTTTGTCTAGAAGCCTTGGCTTTCACCTGAGGAGGGAACGAGTAATGAGACGGTAAGAGAAGAAAACAGGATGTGAATAATTGATGAAGCGTCAAAGACAAAACGCTGAATCAGCTGAGTGACAGACAGTGATATGATCGGAAGACGGGGGGGTGAGAAATCGAGTCATCAGTTCAGACACTGAGAAGCTAAACGTGGACGTTAATGAAGCGTTGACTCATCCTAATGTTAAACCTTGTTGAAGGTCACGACCTTTTCCTCCCACAGTTCTTCACTCTCACACGTTCTGAAGACAGAATCTCTTAACTGGACCAACCGAACACTGAAGACACTTCAGTTCAGTGTGAAACATGATCTCAAGGCTGTTTACTTATTCAGAATTCAAGTGATAAGACACCGACAGTTTCCACGATGAGCAGCTCTGACGACTGTGAGAAAAAACTCTTTCACTGGAAGAAAGAACCAGAGTCAGTGTGGACGACATCTGACTCCACCGGATGTTGAGCAAAGACAAATGGGGAAAAGACTTCCCACAATGCTACACTGTCACAGACACTCCGAGGACCCTAGCTTTATAAGCAGTCTTAACAAATGCTAACAATCCAGATGCTAAAGAAAAACATCTAATCGTGACTCCATTACCACGGCTCCACGATCACTACACAGACTGCAAGTGACGTCCTCACCACAAGATGGCAGTGTTCAAATGTGAGATACTTTAACTTCTGGAGGAAGTGGAGACCTGTCGTTATCTTTATCTCCTGGTTACACTTGTCACCTTTGACCTCACTAACAACCTGTCAAAAAGTCATCTGACCACACCCCCACAGGCATCTCCTCAGATGAGTTTTTTTTTCATTTGTTAATTTAACAGCATTTTGCACAATGTTATCTTCGCAGGGTCCAGTTTGACCAATCACAGGTCAGAAAGATGTAACAACACTGAGCTCCACCCCCGTTAACGTACTTTTCAGCATCACATTCTTACATCAGTGTTTCTTTAGAACATCAGAACCCTGAGGTCTTACCATCGTAGTTCATTATGATAATGGCCAACATGTAATCCTTCCCCATCATGGCTCCGCCCTTGAACCTGTGTGTTCCAATCAGCTGATCGCACACACACACAGGCCCAGATAACGTTAAAGCCGCCTGCTGCTCTCTCTCTCTCCTTGTTTGTCTGTGTGTCTCAGTGTCTCTCGTCCTCCATCCGTCAGCACCATCAGTCGTCTTCTTCTCCTTTATCTATTCACCTTCTCTCTCCCCTCTCATTCGTCCTTGCTCTCCTCTCTCTCTGATGAAGGATGCTGTTGTCCTCCTCTCCCTCCCTCCCTCTCTCCTCCTCCTGCTGATGTCACCCTCCCTCTCTGCCTCGCTCGCCCTGCACTGTAAAAATATGACATTCAAATATGTTTTCACACAAACACACAGATTCTACAGTGAATTCAACAAACTGAGGTCTGATCTTTATTGATAAATCCATCATGTTAATGTCAGCACCCCCCCAGCTGTAACACAATGCATGCTGGTCCTAACACAATGCATGCTGGTCCTAACACAATGCATGCTGGTCCTTACACAATGCATGCTGGTCCTTACACAATGCATGCTGTTTAAAATTGTTGTCCGACTTCATCCAGCGCTGTTGGTCACGTGACCTTAAAACACAGCAGATGTTCTCTCGCTGCAGTCAGACAGATGTTGTCTGAACCTCTTACCTCATAATTAAAACAAGTCATTTTATG